GGTGGAGAAGGGTGGGGTCCCCTTCTCTCTCCAATACCTTTCTTTTCCCCAGGTGGGGTTGGGAGGTCATAGGTAATGACCCCAGGATCCCATTTGTCCTTCTTCTCTGGTTTTGGTTTCTTCTGTTGAGAAAGGAAAAGACACAGGCCCAGAAGTCAGTAGCCTACATGATACCAGCCACCCACCCAGTTCCACCTGGCCCATTACCTCTCCGGGAGGTGGCTGCTGCTGCTGGATCTTCTGTTTCTGTTGGAATTTCTCTAGTTTCTCTCGTTTCTTTGCCTCTTTCTTCAGCTGAGCAGCTGTCTTTTGGGGTGCAGGGATCTCAGGACCTAGAGAGAGATAAAGAAAGGCTGACTTAGCCTGATGGAGACCCTCGGTGAATATAGCTATCTCAGCTGCCAAGGCTCCCCCATTCCGAGCCCCACACTTCACGCTCCTGCAAACCTTGCCCTAGTGATTCTGCTGTCTCTAAGAGAAAAAAGGAAGTGAGCTACACAGAAGTCCCCAGAGCCTCCTCACCTGGCTGCTGAAAGAGCGTCCTGGAGCCAGAACAGAGAACCACCTCTCCCAGCACAGCCCGGAATTCTGGCTGCTGGACACACGTGATAAACCAGCGAGTCACATTACCCCAGATGCGGCGGGCAGAGGGGTCCAGGACCTAGAACAGAGGAAAGGAACAAACTATCCTTAGTCACCTTAGAGTGAGATTTGAAGGGAGTTGCACTCATTCTTCCCCAGACCCCAGAGACTCACATATCGGAAAGGCAACAGCAAGGCTGTGACGGCCGCCAGGTCAGCCAGGGTGGGGGCCTCCCCGGCCAGGTAGGTGTGCAGCCGCAGCCACTCTTCCAAGGGGCTCAAGGCCCGACCCAGGGCACCCAGAGCAGCCTAGCAAGAAGAAGGGTATGAGAAGAGGTTCACCAATCCCACAGTCCGATCCATTCTTCCACTCCCACAAATCCCCCCTCAAATGCTTGTTTCGTCATCACTGAAATGACATAATAAAAATACTTCTCACTCATTCAATAAATTCCTGCTGAGTCTTATGTGTCAGAAGCAATATATCAAGCACAGAAAGTTGGAGTAAAGATTGTATAAGGCAACATGGTAATAGTTTCAACAAATATTTACTGGTTGATTGGCTGGTAAAGATGGGTGGATGAGTATTTGGTGGCAGGTGTGATGTGATATGTACAGGTGCTGAGGTGAGAAACTGTACACCTGGAGCCCAAAGTGTTGTAAATGTTACCTTAATGTTACCTTAAAAAAAAAAAAAAAAAAACCTACAACATGCCAGACACTTTAAGGAGTCCATAGAGGAATGAACAGACAGAGCCTGACCTGATGGGTTGTATATTCTAGTGGGCAGACAATAGATGTACAAATACATAACTCATTGCCCTATTTTTCTCCTTGATTGTGATAAAGAATAGTAAGTCAAAATGAGACAGGGAATTCCAATCTGGACCTTTATGTTAAATGGGGTGATCAGGATATGAGGGAGCAAGCCAGTATCCACCTCACATTCATTTCATCCATTCATTCAAGATTATTTCTTAAGTACCCATGAGAGGCTCAATGCCCTACAAGCAGGGGTGCTATGGGGACCCTGAGGCAGTCTCCTGGAAGGACTTACAATTACAACCTGCAAAGTTATGTCTCCTTTCCCCTTACTTCCCTTCCTCATTTCATTTCTCCTTCAGGCCCTCGCAGCAATTATCTCTTCTGTCCTACAGGACTCATCTCTTCTGGCCCAAGTCCGTTCCTACAATTTACAGCAACCTCTATCTTCAACAGTTTTCAGACTCAAAAACTTTCATTGAGACATTAAAAAGTCGGGAACCTTGTGCTCTAAACAAATCTTTTAATCTCTACAATGTCCCTCAACATGAGAAGGAAGAGTTTCATAGAGGAAGACCAAGGCTCAGAGTTTGAGTTTGCCCAGGGTCACCATAGCAGGTGGCAATCTGTAATTTGATCATTCTATTCCTGCAGTGGACACACACACACACATCATCCTGTCCGACCCTTGCTTCATTCTCCTAAATCTCCCCCCTCTGGGGTTCTCTTGCCCCGACTCACCTGGGGGTCCTGGGAGGAGCTTCGGGGTCCCAAAGCTGGCAGCGTTGCCCCGCAGGCAGCTGGTATTAGCTCCGTGTCCGCGTAACTGACCCACTGTTGGACGAGGACGGCTGCCCGGCTACCTCCTGGGCCCCCCAAGCCTGCTGGCCACAGCAGCTGGGCCACAGCCGTGGCTCCCCACACCCAGAGCCCCCCGGGTCCCTGCTCTAGGGCCGGCAGGCGGGGTGGGGGAAACGGAGTCCTGCTAGTCGGGGGCGGCTGGAGACAGATGCGGGGGTGGGCTCCCCCCCAACCGGGACCCTCTCCGGCCTCCCCATAGCGCGCAGCTATGAGGGCTCGGAGGCTGGGAAAGGCATCTGGGTGAGGAGAGACGTAGAGGATGGACATGGTTGTGCTAGATTGAAAGAAACCTAAGGAGAAAGAGAGACAGGGGAAGACTCAGGGGCCCCGGTGGGTTCTAGCTGAGTAGCCAGTGAGGCTCCCCTCCCGCAGGAGCTGCAGGCTCCCCCGACCCTCCAGGACTGCCAATATGGTTGGGCCTCAAAAGCCGAGGAGGCGGCTCTAGGAGGCACAGTGGCAGTGGGAGGTACCCCAAGATCGCGGGTTCTCGGGAAGGCGGGAGACTAGGGGAGAACCCCTCGGCGTTCGGGCCTCATGTACGTACTGGAGGGAGGTGTTCAGACTGAGCCAAGCATCCACCTCACAGCCGGGCGCCGGCCAAAGCTGGACCGGCCGGCTGGCCCGGGCGTGGAGTCGGGTAGGTGGGGTGGTGGGCGGTCCTCCCGGCGACCCTCGACCCCAGCGACCGCCGCCCCGGCCGTCGGAGCCCACGTGCTCCCCCCTTTGTGACAGCGAGCGTTTCCGGGCCGGCGGGTCCTATCGCGGGCT